TTTATTAGTGCCTATTATTATCGCTCCGTATTACTATTGCTCCTAGATAAACATGTCTTTATTTATGAACAATTAGTGTTCTGTATTTTTTTTTTTTTTATATGATCCCACCAACAGTTTGTGCGTAAACACAATTTGTTCATCCACTTTAATTCTCTTCTAACGTCTCATTTGTGTTATAATGGTATAGCACACTGCACCGATCCAGCTGTTGTGGGCCCATGTCGAGCCAGTTTTCCTCGCTGGTACTATGACCCTCTTAACGAAAAGTGCCATCGCTTCACCTATGGTGGCTGTGATGGCAATGAGAACAACTTTGAGACATCAGACAAGTGCATGGACAACTGCTCAGGTGTCACCGGTATGAATGGTGCTCAGGTTTCAACAAGATATATTAGTGATGATGGCTGAAGTTTATATTTGATGTATATTTCTGTCTGTCTTTATAGAAAATGATGTGTTTGCCAGAGGATTGTATGTAAGGGAGGAACTAGGAGAAAGCCAGTCAGGTAATCTTTGGATTTGCAATCAAATACATCTTATTTATCATTAATCTAAGGAGAAAGGAAGGATCCTAATGGTATTTTTAACAGCTTTTTGATCATAACAGACTTTTTAAAAAATCCTTAACTAGTAAGGATAACATCATATTTTATTTTGTTTTATTGTAGCTTATTTTATTTGCCGGTTTGATTTTTGTTTTGCAGAACAGCTATCATTTTTAAATAATTCTAATAACTTTCAGAACTTTAATTTCTATATTTGAGTATATTGGAGTAAACATCGAATATTTTTTTAATGATCCAGAATACTGTTAAAAAATCAATAGGATCCTTCAGAAGTCTAGATGAAGATGCAGCACAACATTTAGAGATTTCTCTCACATCTCAAAAAAAGAAAGAAATTGGAAATAATAGTCTGGTCCCTAAAGTGAATAGGACAGATCTGTGCTCTCAATTAAAGAAATGCATGTTGTGGATTGCCTTTTTTCCCCCCCTCTCAGCTTCTGTTGCCCTAGCTGTGGTTTTGGTTGTCGCCATCTTGGCCGTTCTGGCTGTGTTGGGTTACTTTTTCCTCAAGAACAAGAGAAAAAGCCATCAGCCTGTGGCCACCAGCAGTCCTCCAGTGGTGTACAGTGATGATGACCAACAGCTGGTCTACAACAGCACCACCGCCAAAGCATGACCATCTTTAAAAACTACATAAACTTTAACATATTTTCTGCCATATGGTCTGCCCCTCAGACTCAGTTAAGGGTTGCTGACCTTTACGTAATGCCATTTTAAATGTTTGGTCACTGAACCAGGTCTTTTATCTCAGGTCTTAATGATTAAGGTGTTTAATGTGGATTTTTAGAATTAGTGTATTATATTACATTGATAAAGACCCGTGTTTGTGGCCCAAGAGAGTTTTTAGGTAGAAATCACTCCTTATAGATGGTCTTCTACCATCTGACAAGCACTTGACAAAAAACATTGTAACTTTCTTTTTGTTTCTCATAAAGCCATATCATTTATCATTCGGATTATTTCTGAGGGGAATTGAAATGTCTTGACTTACCTCTAGAGGCTATATTAATATTTCTGTTACATTTTAAAGTACATATGTTTTTATGGTGTGACAATTCATTGTTTATATATGTGGAATGTAAGATTGTTTGTATTTTTAGCCCTATAAATCCACGAGTTCTTATTGCACTAAATTTTAAACGTTTGCCAGCTTTTTGCTGTGTTTATTCATATGAGTGCTCTGAGTGAGATTCCAGTTGTTGAGTACTGGGATGGAACAGGCTTAAACACTGGGGAGAAAAAACAAAACATACCAAACAAACCTACATTTGATGCTTTTGTGTTTCTCAATATGGGTCAAGAGTGTCAAATAATGACTAAAAGATGTCAAATGTTTTTTGTGGGTGGATGTGTTTCTTTAAGATATGCATCTGATTATTTCTGGTTTTGTTATGTTTAAGTATTTTAAACAGTGTAAGTGCCATTTGGTGAATAAGGACATGGATTCAGGAGCTCTGATTTTGAATAAAAGAGTTTCAAATTAAATTTTGCAGTTATGTTATGAACATTGTAGTGACAATCTCATGTGGAAATGCTATTTTTAAGGTGAATGGCAAGTGCCATATTTTAAGAACCGGTGGCATGTTCTGTATTAAATTAGCCAGCATTTAGCTTCTTTTACTGTAAGTTATGAATGAGTTCTCATTATGCTAACCTGAATATAAACATGCTGATAGATCTCGATATGTCTGGTAGACAGCACAGTAGCGACACTCACTGACAGGAATAAGTCACAGGTTTTGTGGAGGTAACTTAAACATAACAAAAATAAAACAAAAATGCAGAGTTTGAACATGGATAGAACATACGCTCTTAGCACAAGTACAAAAAGGCTAAATTCTATTTAGTGAACATTCAACATAAGCGGGTATAATTAACAAAAAAAGGTGAAAAAATAAGTCATAACAAGTGGAAGTTGTTGTAATCGGTGGGCTGCGATGGGAACCTGGTTCTCTAATTGTAACTCTTCACTGTATGACTGACTAACATTTCTTAGTGTCATTATCCACGTTGATCGTCTATACAGCTGCTAAAACAGCGTGTTGACGGCGTCATCAAATGAAACATTTTTCATGAATTGGAATGAATGTGTGCAAAGCATTGTGGGTGACTGAGGGACGCGAAGGATACACCTGATGCATCCTTCAAAACAGGACCAATGAAGGTACGCAAAACGAAGATCTTTCACATTGAGATGTCCTTTGATGGGGCTTGAAGACGTTGCAGCCTAGATGCTGTATGCAGCCTGAAATGTCGAGCAGCCCCTTGAGGAAAATATTCCTCCGTCTCATGCATATTTCCGTGATTATTGACCTTCTCTCTTGTCCACTAGAGGGGAATATCTCTTTGTAAAATTTTTATATAAAAGAATTCATGAAAGTTACAGCCTATCACATTAATGCATGCTTAGTATAATTGCTGAAGACAATTGTTTTGTCACAATTATTCACTACGTCATATTTATTTATTTATTTTTCAAATTTCAAAATTCATTTTTTTTCAAAATTACTTTGAATATATATATACAGGTGCATCTCAATAAATTAGAATGTTGTGATATGAGACTTTAAATCTTGTTGTTTTATGCCTGACTTCATTCTTCCCCTTGAATTACTTGATCAATTGACAATATAATGATTTTAGACAAAAGCCAAACATCCACCCAATGTTTCCATGGAATCTTCTGTCACTTCCAGCAAGTCTTGACTTGATCAGTTTTGTCTGAAATGCCTTGGTGAAAACCCAGTCGTTATAATATTCCTTTATTGTATCAGCCAGTCACTGCTCTCTCAGTGAACATGTTGCATAACAAAACAATCTGAACTGAAGGAAAAGGGTTGGCTCTCAACTTAAAAGTCAAGGGTAACACCTACACTGCATAACTGAAGGTAGAAAAAATATGTATCTGTTATAGGAATTAAAGGCCATGTGATAGTTGACATTCTTTTTTCTCCCTTTTGCTTGATTTTTTCTTTTAGTTAGCTGAAGAGCTTTGACGTCACATTAAACAGGTTTTCTTTCTCAATGTGGGATGTTTATGTTGTTGCTTGTGAGGAGTCAGGATTAGTAAGGATTGTGTACTTGTAAGCAGCTGCAAGGACATGTCACCTTTTTACCATGACAGTCTTTCTGGTTTTGGTTAAAGACAGTAATAGCGTGGTAACAGAATTAACACACCTGTTCTGCAAGGAAGGTTGCGTAGGTTGACAATCATGTTTGTGGCATGTCTTGGCGTGTTTTGTTGCAATGTTCTTGATCTTAATCTTGATAATGACATATCTGAAGACTTGTAGCAATGTTATGTGAAAAGACTCTATATTTATAACGAGAAGAATAATGTTGTGTAAATAAACTGTGATGATGGTTAAGTTGACTCAGTATGAGACGTACTTCCATAAGGAGTATATACTTATGTGGAAATGTTCATTTTCACAAAAAGGATAAACTGTTACCTGTGCATTTATGTCTGCATTTGTCATCAAATTAGGACATTCATGGGACATGGTTTCATTTGTGCCTGAAAATTTCAGTTATATGGTGTTTAAAGTTAGAAACGTCATAACCTAACAGTGAAAGCACAATGTTCCACCATTCATTCATTCATTCATTCATTCATTCTAAATAACCAATTAAAATGTGATGCTGATGATGATGAATAATAGGAATATGCAAATTAAAATCATGATAAAATTATGGTAAAACATTTTAAAAGAAAATTAGATTAATTTTAGACAAAAAAACTCAAATTAAAAAAAAAGAAAATGTAAAAGTTTTAACAATAAAAAGGTAACAGTAGGCTATGTATAAAATATAAAGCACAGTTCAAATACAGTGAAGTAATTATGTTCTATGAACTGGAAAAAGAATTTGATGAGCACACACACATCCTTAAGCAGACTTTCAAAGGTTTTCAAAAGCAAACGCTATTAGAACTAGATATGTTTCATTTTTTGTGACCTTAAAATGAAGGAAGTTAACTTAAAAAAACTTCTAAATTAAATATATTGATCCGATGAGTGAATTTTTAAAAGTAATGTTTACTTTATAGTAATGTTTGTACATTCTGTCAAAAAGATATTGAATCTCAGAAGTGGTTACTTACAAAGAATGTAATACCAGGTTTTGAAAATGTTAGGTTTGATGTTTTTATGCAAAACTAATAACTGAATTTTTGTGCAATAATATTTTAATTATGGGTAAGTTTTATTAACACAAATGAAGATTTGTTAAGGTTGCTCCAAATTTCGTGGCATTTAAAAATTATTTAAAAAATTTTTTTTTCAATCCTTACAGCAAAAGATGAAAAAGAAAAGTGCCTTTATACTCTCCAGATTACTTAAAATATTATTGAACCATCTTCCCTTAAGTTTAATATAATTAGTTTTAACAAGCTTTATATATATGTTTTTTTTTTCAGTGTATGCTGCTTGGATTTATTGTATCAGTGTTGTTTAACAATAATAATGATTGTTTGTTATTTGAAGAGCTTTAATAAAAGTAAAAATAAAAATAAAAAATAAAACAGTTTGCGCATGCGCACTCGTTCACTTTCGAAAAAGGCGGAGGGTTACGGGAGGAGAACATGATCAGACTGTCATCATTACAGCCACAAGCAACAAACGGAGGAGTTCGGGCTGAACTGTCTTTTTATTGTCCTCTTTTACATCGACAGGATATTTTTGTTTCACAGAGACTTTGTTAACATAAATGCAACTTTATCACGGATTGTTCGCTTGACGTCTTTCGAAGTTTTTTAACTTTTCTTGTATTGGTAAGTGTTGCAGGAGCTACATCCTGCGTTCCTAAACTTTATTTTAGATGAAAGATTTTAGTTGTTATAGTACGTTCATTTTGTAAAATTACACAACTGAAGTTATCTGCCTTCACTGATATTTTTCGGGAGGAATCTAAAGAATTTGGGCATAGTATTCACAAGCAAACTACAAAAGTTGAAAGTTTGTGTTAAATTGCCATATGTTTGTCACCCGTAAGCGACAGTCGCTTGCAGTGTGGACGACAGCTCTGAGAATAATTACATGCATCTGTTATTACGCGATATATTTTATTATTTTAACTCATTTAAGTCACTTCTCAATTTAAACTTTTGATGGGATTATTGAAAATAAAAATTCAAAATGTCTGACTGTCTACATAAAGAACTATAAGCAGCTCTGTCAAGCATACTGTCAAAGTCTGATACCATATTAAACAGTTTAAACAAAGAAAAATTGTGATGTATAATTAGGTATAGTTTATATTTCAGATTCTGCACTAGTCTTAGATTATTCATCCAAAGGACATAGTAGTTTAAGGAGAATGTTGTTTAGCAGAAAGACTTCAGAGGTAGAAAGACCTCTGATCCGAGGAATGAAGAGTGGTCACTGTCTATCAGTCTATCACACATGATAACAGTTGTTTCACAAGTTTCTACAAGGAAGAAAAAAAAATGGTAATGCAGTGCTCTGCAGAAAAACCTTCAGTTGTATAACACATTTCAGCCAGAGAATTGTGAAAGAGGCAGGATTTATGACTCAATATCTGACTAATGTTCTCAGTTATTATAACATCTTTACAAAAATAAAGTTCCTGCCAGTTTGCTTATCATGTCACTACAGGCTTTGTGAATTTCATCACGATTATGTGTGGAAGATGCAAAAAATGCCTTCAACTACCGTTCAAGCTCTCTTCCCCAACTTCACTGCCAGGGACATGTACACATATACTGGCTGTATCTAAAATGTAGTTAACAGCCTGCCTAGTCAGCATTTTTGGGCATCATTAGTCACACTGTATTTTTTTTTTAAGTTGTCAAGAAAACAAAAATAACTGGAATTGTAGTCTTTCTACTTAAACATTTAATATTTTATCCAATGTTAGTTGCTGTGTCTTTGTAATTATTTGTGGAATTTCAGACATTTAACTTGTGCAGGAAATCTGCTCCTCATTGTAGTTTATTATGGTGAAGAACCGCCCACTTGACAGTAAAGGAGCATCTGACCTACATACAATACACAGAGACCCGACCAGTGATTAGTTCTTCCTCAAAACACTCAGCTTGATTCATTGTAGCCAGCATGTGCAATAAGTGCTCAACTTCAAACAAAACCGGAAATCGAGGGGTTATGACGTCATTGGTAGGCAACACAATGACACTATAGACACGGTCCGTGTCACTAGTTAAAATTGCTTATTTCTCTGGATTTAAACATTCTTCGAAACATTTGGGATAATGGAAGTACACAAGTCAGCAAAATATATAGCACGGTTTTTGGATATTTTAATTTAAAAATCTTACATATTGTGCCTTTAAGCTGTGAGCTGAGTTGACTCTTGAGTATGTCTAAAGCTTCTTTTACAGATATTTTGGAAAAATGTCTGGAAAAAATTGTGTTGTTCTGTTGAAAAATTGTTTTGGCCTTGCAAAATTTTGTTTATCTACATGACCGGAGCTTTTCCTTAATCTGTGCTCTTATACTTGAAGCCCTGCACTTTTATCACTACAACACACACCCTGCATTAGCTCTGTTCACACGTTTTGGCACTCTGGCTTTGCATTCACGGAGAACAGTTTTCAGGAATTTCAGGAACTCCAGTGTTGATGCTATTGCTCCCAAATGCTGTCCAGGTAGCCATCTCATTAGGTTTGAGATATAGCCACTGATTCTTGGCACTAACAGGTTGGGGAAGTCTTTGGTAATGGGTCCCATGTGAGAGTGCGTTAAACCTGTGATAGAATTGTGGACACACCCGGTTCCTTTTCCAGTCCTGCCTGGGGCCGGCTAGGGTGCCAGACGGCTTCTTTCATTTCCTGATCCTAGACAGATAAGGAAGGACCGCTCTGTTTAAAAAATGCACTTGTCGCCAGTTTGTAGTGAAAGTTTTTTATTGTTGCTTTTTGGAAGTTTCCACCTCAGTGTTTCCCACAGACTTACACTCTATGTGTGGCGGCACTTCCCCTGGGGGAAATATATATGCATATAATGTAAATATAAAACAGCAGACAGGCTTATTGAAAGTGCAAATTCATTCTCTGCCAGCAGGAGGCGCTTTAGGAGCGGCAGAAATAGCGGTTTCCCCGGTAACAGCTGAACACAAAACAGTGCTGAGCTCATAAACGCTGCTTTATCAGGCATTATAGGAAAGATTAAATGAAAATGACATCAAAACTTTTCTGAAGACAATCGGTTCCCTTCAAAAAAGATTTATTTAAAACATTTATATAAAAACACCCGTGCCGCCTTTTGATTTTGAAACGTGGAGTGCTCATGCTTATTCAACTTAGTCAAAGCCTTTTGGAAAATCTATTTGTGGCGGGCAGTGTTGATATTGTGGCGGGCCGCCACAAATAAATCAATGTATGGGAAACCCTGCACCTCCTAGAAGGCTTCCAATCCAATATGGAAGATAACTAATAGCTAGAAATAGGTGAGTAGTCCAAAATATGCAGTAGTGGGTTCTTGTTAGTACCGCAGTTCATCTTTTTTATCACCAGGGCAATTTGATGTCACTAAACAAACTCTGTTCATTGACTAATATTTGCCTTAGCCTGATATTGGAGGCTTGTTATTTGACTGTTAAATCTGCTGCTCTTTGAAATAGACTATCAGTCAAAGGTTTAGACATATTCATTCGTTATTATCACTAGTTATCTCCATTTTACAATAAGAGTATGCTATGCAATTACATAAATGGATGTATGGTATTTATGTAGTGAGCAAAACTGTAATTTTTATTAATTTACTCAAGGAGTTCTCGTGTGCTGGGCACTTTTTGGGCAACTAAGTTCATAAGTAGACTCTGGCACATTGTTTACACTAATTATAGCTCATTTCAAGCATTTAAGTGTAAACCTTCACATCAAAAGGTCTTTAAGATAATGAGAAACAAATTCAATCAAGGATGTCTAAAACTTTGACTGGTGTTGGTGTACTTGTATTGGCTGTGTCAGGTTTTCTGAGCTATGAGACCAATGAAACACAATCGGTAGAAGTACAAACAATAGGATGGTGTTTGGTCTTTCTTAACCCTTCCATTCCTGTGGATTCTTTGTTAAAAATGACTGTTTGGACAGCATGGAACAGATATTCCTCAGTTCAGGAATTTCACAGTACTTAAGCATCTTGTGCATTCTTTCTTCTTTTAAACTAAAGAAAATGATCAGTTTAAAATGAATTTCAGGATGACAATATTTAGTTTTAGGGTGGAGGCTAAACTAGAGAAGAGAGTGTATTATTGATTTTGCTTTTTAGGTGATTTATTTTTTTCTTTTTTAGATCTACTACAGAGCAGACTTACATGGTGACCTTTTCACAGATGGACAAGCCGTTATTAAAACAGGTTGTGTGCCTGTTGCAAGCCATGTTCATCCAGTCAGTGTTATTGACCTTATAAGTGCACAGAAGAACATACTGTAAACCCAGGGTTTACAGATGTACAGTGTAAAATCTTAAAACTTTAATAGCCTTTATTATTATTTTTATTATTTGTATTTGCATTTAATGAATAAAAAAAGACTTGTTAGATGAGGGAGACATACAAAATGTCTAGTAACCTCCAGGAGAGGTTTGGGAGGGACTAGTAGCGCATCAGATTTCTTGGAAGCAGTCATCATGCCCGTGTGTAAACATGCAGAGAGATGTCTATCTGTGCATATTTTTAGTTTTCTGTGTCTATTTCCTATAATTGCTTCCTCTGGTAGTTACCGACCTTCAGTGACTGGACAGAGCTTCTTGGAAGCTTTTCAAACTGTGATATGTTGTACGTGTCTACATTATGTGACACAGTAGGGAATGGTATGTGTGTACATAATGTAGCCTAGAAAGTGGGGTAATATCATACTTTTTATTTTCCATAAATTTTCCCTGAGACCTCACATTTTGTCACATGGAGTCAGTTTAGTTTTTCTTGACCATTTCCACCCTCTCTCTTATGTAGTATTAGACGTTTTTTTGCTGCCCCTTTAAGAGTTGTATGTAAAAAGTATCTTTGCATATGGAGGTAGGTACAGTGCTTACAAGCTTAAAGGAGTAGTTCACTTTCAGAATGGAAATTCTGTCATCATTTACTCACCCCCCACTTGTTCCAAACCTGTATGAGTTTCTTTCTTCTGTTAAACAAAAAAGAATATATTTTGAAAAATGTTGGGATCTGAACAGTTGATGAGCACCATTGACGTCCATAGTATTTTTTTTCCTACTATGGAAGTCAATGGTGCTCATCAACTGTTCGGATCCCAACATTTTTCAAAATATTCCTTCCACCTTGTAATGTAGCACATCTGTATTTGTATTCCGTGTTTGTGTATATCTTCTTGTCAGTGTGCATAGGTTAATGTGGAGCTACGTAGATGCTCCCAGAATAGGCCCTCTTGTATCTGTGCTTTGCCTTGTCATGTGATCTGGCACTGGGCTGTGAGGGGCTGTTTGTTCATTGTTGTTCTCCAGCTGTGTCATTTAACCCCCCATCCCTCCTTTTAGCCAAGCCTGAGGGCAAGATTTAGTTTCTTATTTCGCCATGTCACATCATGCCTGCTTTTTGGAGCTTTAGGAGTCACTTCAACTTGGTGAGTGTCATCAGCGTTTCATGGGCACTTTTTTGGGGAAGTCAAAATAAACTTGTAGTTGTCTCTAAATGTTAAGATGGAATAGGAGAAAGTAATTTAACATTGATGAACACTGAGAACTTTATTTAGAATAGTTGGAAACCACAGATGCAAATATAGTTCATCACGCCATGACAAAATGTCACCATCAGCAAACCACTGGAAAAAAT